TATATATATATATATACACACACACACACAAGTATAGGATTGCTGTATACGGAATAAATTCCAATGACCAAAAAATACTATTCTTAAAAGAGTGCTCAATACAGAGTAGAGCAAATATAATTATTTATTCGAAAATTATAACATAAATATGTTATAAAATCACTACAAAAATAGCCATTTTGTTTCAACACTTCTGGTGTCTTATCAAGTGATGGTGTTGAATGTAGAATAACACACACACACACACACACACACACACACACACACATATATATATATATATATATATATATATATATATATTAGTGGGAACAGTAAGATTACAGCGTTCAGAACATTAATTTTAAAACAGTGCTCAATAGTAACACCGTGATTCGCCAAAGGGTTTAAAAGGTTTTCTTTTTTTTGACGTTGAAACAAAAAATGTACAATCTTCTAGTGGATATGTGCATGTTTTAATGTAACACTGCATAATATATATATATATATATATATATATATATATATATACACCTAGTGAGCCAGACAAACCTACCTAGGTTTCACCTAAACGGATCGTCAGGGAAAGTTTGCCAAACTTTCCTAAACGATCCGTTTAGGTGAAACCTAGGTAGGTTTGTCTGGCTCACTAGGTGTATCTAGGTCTGCTCTACGGTTGTATTGAGCTCTTTTGTTAGTTAGTTGTTACTCGTATCGGGGTTTTTTTTCTTTGGGCTTCAGACCTGCATCTGTGCGATTTTTTGTCGGCAGAAGTTCATGTTTGTAGCTCTTTCTTTTTTAAAACCTTTTTTTTTCCCTCGAGATTGATTTGATTAGCAAATCAAAAATTAGAGGGTTTTTCGAAACGAGTCTAGTTATCTATATTTATATATTTATATATATATATATATATATATATATATATATATATATATATATATATATATATATATACGCTTCCCAAAATCAATGATGAAAAAAGGCGTTGATCTAGTAAAGACTGAAGGGTCTTGGCAAAGATCATTTTTCATTGAACATTGTGAATTGGCGCTACACAATCGCAAACGAAGAACTGTACCAAATGACCGAAACCACATCACTTGAGGACTACCAACAGCAGCAACAACTAAAATGGGTAGCACATGGAACTTAAAGAGACAAATAATGAAGTAAACCTAATGTTGACATTCCACACAACTTTAAGTAAAACGGTGGGAAGGAAACCTCCATAATACTGGAAAGATCGATAGCAGCTCTTCGAGTTGCGAAACCTGTTTTCCGAAAAATTGTTTTCAGAGTAAGATTTCAAAAATTTCAACTGAAAGCAGTACTGCGTTCTCTGTGAATGGAAACCAAATGTTTCCTTTGGAGGGAAACCATTACCGATAAGATTTATTATCAGAACAAAACTAATATCCGTCACATAACATTTATTATAGTGTATTTTTCATAATTGTTTATGGACTGTTGTGCTTAATAAGATCTACGGTAAGAACGCATTACTGTCCATGACTTGAAGACTCAGCAATGTAGTTCTACAAAAGGATCCTGAGAAAATTAAGCTCTGAATATGTGAACAACGACAAAGTTTTAGATCAAATAAGAAACAAAAAGGACCCTTAAATTTGACACCAGCAGACAATTGATAATATTTCTAGGGCTAAGCTTCCCCATCGAGTTACTAATGTAAGAATAACAATGGTAAAACTCTATGCACCACGTGATGTTTTTTGCTGGAATTATCACAAATATTCTACTGAATAAATAGTCTAGATGGATTCACCGATAAAATAATTATGTAAATTTCTTATACATACACAAATCAATCTATTTAGGACGATATTTTCTACTTTACGAATAATTTTGTCATTTCCTATTTGCTTCATTCACCTGTCAAATTTATTGCATTTAACTTATATTGAAAATTGAGTTTTATATTCCTTTTTGTGCTTATTAACATAAAAAACAATTAAAAAAAAATGCATCATACACGGTCATTAGATTCTATGAAATGGATAAAAATATTCAAAATTAATGAGTGTACGAATAATGGCGTCGTTAACCACACACACACACACACACACACACACACACACACACACATATATATATATATATATATATATATATATATATACATACACAGAGAGAGAGAGAGATAACAAATTGGAAAGGTTTTTCGTCTTTTTTTCTAGTTTGTCATATTTTTCTAAATAATGTTTGCTGATATATAAAATTAAACAAAATTATATATCGTTATATCATATCATATCGTAACATATATATATATATATTGTCGAAAAAATTAAACAAAATTATATATCGTTATATCATATATATATATATATATATATATACGTTGTCAAACGCCTCACATGTCGAACAAATAGGTTTCTGAACAGAAAATTCGAGTTGAAAATGCCTCGGTTATCGAACAAAATATCGGTTCTCCTACAACATTGCCGAACCGATCCGAACCAAGCCGAACTGAGCCGATCCGAGTTAACCCGAACGGAATCATTTCTTCGTCGACCGCCGTCTTGTATAAATTCGTGTGTTGTGCCGCGTTTTTCGTTTCCATTTCATTGTGCTATCATTTTTTTTCTTCTCTGCATTGATTCCTATTTCAAAATAGTTTCGGTTTACGAACATTTTAAGTTTCGAACAGACATCAGGAACAAACTAAATTCGTGAACCGAAGTTCCACTGTATATATGTATATATATAATTTTTATTACATGCACACGTTATTTTGAGTAGACGGTCCGTTTATTTTAAAATAAACCAAACATCTACTCAAATACTTGTACTAATGAATGTTTGGAAGCTAAAGGCCATAATTTTAAGCGTCTCCTATGATTGTAGAGTTTAACGTTAACTAATAACTAAATACTAAATTTAACTAATACTAAATTTATTCAGACATCTCAAGATTAATATCTTGAGATGTCTGAATAAATTTAGTATTACAATATCTATACAAGTTTTTCCTTTCCTGAAATGTGTAGATAATTTTGGGGGCGAACTCTTTCTCTCTCTCTCTCTCTCTCTCTCTCTCTCTCTCTCTCTCTCTATATATATATATATATATATATATATATATTGTATTTAGGCAACAATCCTTCCTTTATGCATGTTTCATTAAAAACAACAGACAAGGTACTATAGTTAAGCTTTTAATTTAATTTTTCTTGTGTTCGAACATGAGCTTTCTTTTTTGAACACAGAGTGTGTAGAAACTGTCCAAATGTTTTATAGTTCCGAGCTCTTTCGGCTATACTTATAGCCATTATCTAGGATGATTTCATTTATCAGTTTGAGTGTGTTCGTTATGTAGATGTTTTTGTGTGTTATAGAGATATTTTATTTTCCGAACACGGTCAGCACATTGTGGCCTAGTTCGAGGTTAATATTTTTAAGAGCTGGCTTTTTCTTTTTTATTATTAGGGCTTCCATTATTTTCAATTTTTTTTGTACAGTTGGATGAGATTATTATTTTGTATTTTCTACTAGTATGTTTCGAATGGAATCTGGAAAGTTTGTGTGTGTGTTTAAATGGGGTCTAATAGAGCTCTGGCCCGATAGGTGTCACATAAGGCCGTCTGGATAAGCATATAGTTGTGTGAACAATGTAATTATTTATGAGTTCGGTTTGACTAGGAACGCAGCTCCTTAAGAGGCATTTGAACTATTAAGTTAATTTCTACACACACTGTTTCCAAAAAAGAAAGCTCCTGTTCGAACACAAGAAACATTAAATAAAAAGCTTTACCGTAGTACCTTGTTTGTCATTTTTATGCGCCATCTTCGGGCAAATTTTCCCACTGACCTGAAGTGAGGCGACTACATCAAATCAATAGCTGCATCTACTGCAAGGAGAGTTGTGTCACTGTGTCGTAGCAGAAGATTTTTTCTTTTCAGAAACCATCTTGCACATTTAAAAATCTACCATTCGTCCGTGCATTGGATACTGTTGCCATATCTGGTCTGTTGCTCCTGCTATTCATCTTGAGGTTCAATGAAAAAATCCAAAAAAGGATCTGTAATGTAATTGACTCTGACCAGGCATCTCGACTTCAGTCACTTTCTCACTGACTTGACGTGACTTCCTTCTGTCTTTTCTACAAATAATTTTATGACTACTGCTCACGTTTTCAACTGACTTGAACTGAAGCGACTACATAGTATCAATAGATGCATCTATTGCAAGGAAAGTGAAATCAGGGTCGTACCAGAGAATTTTTCTCGTCATAGTCCAATTTGCACATTTACAAATCTAACATTCGTCCGTGCATTAAATCCTGCTGCCATATCTGGTCTGGTGCTCCCGCTGGACATCTCGAGATTCTTGACAAAGTTCAAAGAATGATCTGTGATGCAATCCATCTTGACTTGGCATCTCGACTGAAGTCACTATGCCGTGCCAGAAGATCTTTCTCGTCATAGTCCATCTTGCACATTTACAAATCTACCATTCGTCCTTGCATTGGATATTGTTGCCATATCTGGTCTGGTGCTCCTGCTCCAAAGAAGGATCTGCAATGTAATCAATCCTGACCTGTCATCTCGACTTCCGCTACGTGGTTTTCCTTTGTCTTTTCTAGAAATATTTTAATTGGAAATGCTCTGACGAGTTTTTTTTTTTTTCTCTGGTTCTTCGACAACATGAATTTAAACGTGTCCCTCTATTGGCTTCTAGTTTTAAAGCGTTATGATTTTGAAATAGCTAATTGCAACCGCAGCTTTTATTCCATCTGCTTTTTTTTTCGCACTTCCCGCCTGAGGAATTCTCTTCCGTTTGCTTCTTTCCCTGATTAAAAAAAAAAATCTTCAAAAATTTAAATACAACATTAATCGCCATCTTCGATCTTTTTTAATCTATTTCATCTTTTCCCCTTTTGTCAATCATCACTATTCTCAGTTTTCTCTTTTTTCTTTAATTCCTGCGTGACCCCCTGCGTACTAGTGGTGTTCCTGCGTGACCCCCTGCGTGACTCCTTGCGTGACTCCCTGCGTACTAG